ACATACTTTGTCTTAATCAGGATATTAATAAGGAACTAGCAGTTTATGAAGCTTTTGGAATAATCCACCAATTTTTTAAAATTAAACACTATCTAAAGATTTGCATCGAAGCGTTTTTTTTTGATAGTGATTTTAATCACTGTCAGATATCATTATACTTGATCCAACTATGCCACGTCACCACTGTGCCGCGACCCCCCTGTGCTGGGTTTTTTTATTTTAGAATACTTTACAATGAGAGACAATAGAAATGAGTGCACCGATTTACATAAAAAAATATATGAATCTAATTTATAAATTGTTATTATCATTTGTATGTTTTAGTAACAGTATTCAAATGTAATAGGGTTGCCTATTTTCAAACATTTAAACACTACAAAATGTAAAATGCACTGAGTCATTTTAGCTTCGAGTTGAGAAGATATTAATTTTACTATAGTGTGTTTATTATTATTATTATTATTTTTTTGTGTCTGTTATCATTCATTCTCAACTCTCACTGGATCGATTTTGATGAACAATACGTCAAAAGATCATAAATGGGTGATGGAAGGAAGCAATTTTTAAGTTGCCCCCAGAGTCACTATTTTTTAAATACAGGCCAGTCAATATCAAAATTAACCCCCATTCCAACATTGAAATTAACTTCATAAATAAAAAAAAAATAAAAGTATTAGAATGTTCATTAATTGTTGTATTATTGAGAATATTCTGTGGTAAAATAAATCTATATATATTCGTTTGTAATTAAAAATTATATCTCTTTGTTTTATTTAACTTAAAACTTCTATTATAAATAACCTATAACATTTATCATACTACCTATTACCATATTACCATAACATTTTAACTATTTAAATTAAAAATAACAAAACTAGAATAATATTTTTAATATAAAGAATGCAGTTATTTCTAAATAGATCAAGATGTGATATTTTATCACTAAAAGAAAAATTTGCTTTACATAAATCAGCAGATGGTAAATTGTAATTGCCTGGTAATAAAAAATCTGCTTAAAAGTGTGTTTACTAATAATTTCTCCAACAAAACACAAATAATCATTATTAACATAAATATTAAAGCGATTATATATATATAAAGTGAATACATCAAATTACGCACAAGTGTACATAATTTTATTGTTGAAAATAGAAGTTCGATTACATTATTATGAATTGAAACTGGTTTAAATAACAAAGTATTATGGACGGAAATGAGAACTTCACGTATTCTAGATAATTTTATGATTTGCGAGTTACGATCGTATTAAAATATTTCATATCTATGAAAACCTAGTTCGGAAAAGTCAAAACTTTCCGCAAGCTGTTTTTCAATTAAAATTATAATATCGTACAATAGATTAAGTGTTTACAATTCTATATGGAATATATTTTTATTTAAGTTTTGAACTTTTTGATCACCTTTATTTTTAAAGTTTCAAAATTTGTGAAATAGAAACCCTAAAATTGCCCTAGTACATCTAAACATATGATGTAAAAAATTTAGTCATTATTGATCAACCCTAACAAAAAGGTTATATATTTGATGCATGGGTTAGTGTTTCAGATATGTTTAATTATCTCGGAAATTAATATACTAACGATAAAAATGTAAAAAGCTAAATTTTTACATAATATTTTTCTTTAAAAAGTCTCATTTTAAAATTTCCTCAAAATTTATTATTTTATACTCAAATTACCAATTAAAGGGATTTGGACTACACGCATCATTATGTTTTTTCGATGTTCTCATTGCAATTAAAGTATTAATTAAAGTATTTCCTCGTTCTCCGTAAATGAGGGAAATTTCCAAAAAAAATTACAAATTTAAAAATCGCTAATTTTTTCAATTTTTTGTACTTAAAACTGCCATAACTTTTATAAAAATGATCATATCTATATCATTTTTTTTTCATAGATACGTGAGATATTTATCTATCATTTTGTATGTTTTGTTATAAATCTGACCCTTTACCTGTCCACAGAGGGGATTCAAAATGACAACTTTTTCAAATATACCTTAAATTAAAGCTTATGAAATATACTTTATTATGGAAAAAAAAATTTTGGATTTTATTTTGTCTTCATGGTGAAAATGGTTACCGTATGCTATTTTTGTGTTAAAATTTTCGATTTTATTTTAAAATACCTTAAAAAGTTTTTGAGATAGAAAACAATTTTTAACTCATTTGATTTTTATCACATTTAGAATCAATGACTTTAATAAATATCAAGGACCCCATCACTGTAGTCCTCCCCCGTTTGAAGACATTTCTTATTCATATTAAAGTTTTTTTACTATACGATTTTTTTTTTATGACTATCCTTTATTTTTTCAGCTCTCACTTGACTAACTTTTTTTAACGATACATCAAATGATCATAACTAATACACTCAATTGAGTAGATTTTTTAACAACATTTTGATTGGTTTTTTTAGTTAAAGTAAACCATTAAAATTAATTATGTTTTGAATATTTCAATTGTAGAATATTTTTAATCACCAAAAATTACNGTAAATTTGATACTTAACCTGCCCACAGGGGGGGATTTAAAATGACAACTTTTTCACAAAAAATTAACCTTTTCAACTTAACTTTTGAAAATGTTCCGGAAGGTCTGACACTTTTATATATATCTTAAATTAAAGCTAATGTAATATACTTTATCATGGAAAAAAAAAATTTCGGACTTTATTTTATCTTCAAGGTGAAAATGGCTACCAAATGCTATTATTGTGTGAAAATTCTCAATTTTATTTTTTACATTTTTAACATTATAATGCTATAACTTATTGAAAAGTGTATTGATCAATATAATTTTTTTATGGGAAATACTATTTTCTAATAATCTCTTTTTTATTCGACATACTTTGTCTTAATCAGGATATTAATAAGGAACTAGCAGTTTATGAAGCTTTTGGAATAATCCACCAATTTTTTAAAATTAAACACTATCTAAAGATTTGCATCGAAGCGTTTTTTTTTGATAGTGATTTTAATCACTGTCAGATATCATTATACTTGATCCAACTATGCCACGTCACCACTGTGCCGCGACCCCCCTGTGCTGGGTTTTTTTATTTTAGAATACTTTACAATGAGAGACAATAGAAATGAGTGCACCGATTTACATAAAAAAATATATGAATCTAATTTATAAATTGTTATTATCATTTGTATGTTTTAGTAACAGTATTCAAATGTAATAGGGTTGCCTATTTTCAAACATTTAAACACTACAAAATGTAAAATGCACTGAGTCATTTTAGCTTCGAGTTGAGAAGATATTAATTTTACTATAGTGTGTTTATTATTATTATTATTATTTTTTTGTGTCTGTTATCATTCATTCTCAACTCTCACTGGATCGATTTTGATGAACAATACGTCAAAAGATCATAAATGGGTGATGGAAGGAAGCAATTTTTAAGTTGCCCCCAGAGTCACTATTTTTTAAATACAGGCCAGTCAATATCAAAATTAACCCCCATTCCAACATTGAAATTAACTTCATAAATAAAAAAAAAATAAAAGTATTAGAATGTTCATTAATTGTTGTATTATTGAGAATATTCTGTGGTAAAATAAATCTATATATATTCGTTTGTAATTAAAAATTATATCTCTTTGTTTTATTTAACTTAAAACTTCTATTATAAATAACCTATAACATTTATCATACTACCTATTACCATATTACCATAACATTTTAACTATTTAAATTAAAAATAACAAAACTAGAATAATATTTTTAATATAAAGAATGCAGTTATTTCTAAATAGATCAAGATGTGATATTTTATCACTAAAAGAAAAATTTGCTTTACATAAATCAGCAGATGGTAAATTGTAATTGCCTGGTAATAAAAAATCTGCTTAAAAGTGTGTTTACTAATAATTTCTCCAACAAAACACAAATAATCATTATTAACATAAATATTAAAGCGATTATATATATATAAAGTGAATACATCAAATTACGCACAAGTGTACATAATTTTATTGTTGAAAATAGAAGTTCGATTACATTATTATGAATTGAAACTGGTTTAAATAACAAAGTATTATGGACGGAAATGAGAACTTCACGTATTCTAGATAATTTTATGATTTGCGAGTTACGATCGTATTAAAATATTTCATATCTATGAAAACCTAGTTCGGAAAAGTCAAAACTTTCCGCAAGCTGTTTTTCAATTAAAATTATAATATCGTACAATAGATTAAGTGTTTACAATTCTATATGGAATATATTTTTATTTAAGTTTTGAACTTTTTGATCACCTTTATTTTTAAAGTTTCAAAATTTGTGAAATAGAAACCCTAAAATTGCCCTAGTACATCTAAACATATGATGTAAAAAATTTAGTCATTATTGATCAACCCTAACAAAAAGGTTATATATTTGATGCATGGGTTAGTGTTTCAGATATGTTTAATTATCTCGGAAATTAATATACTAACGATAAAAATGTAAAAAGCTAAATTTTTACATAATATTTTTCTTTAAAAAGTCTCATTTTAAAATTTCCTCAAAATTTATTATTTTATACTCAAATTACCAATTAAAGGGATTTGGACTACACGCATCATTATGTTTTTTCGATGTTCTCATTGCAATTAAAGTATTAATTAAAGTATTTCCTCGTTCTCCGTAAATGAGGGAAATTTCCAAAAAAAATTACAAATTTAAAAATCGCTAATTTTTTCAATTTTTTGTACTTAAAACTGCCATAACTTTTATAAAAATGATCATATCTATATCATTTTTTTTTCATAGATACGTGAGATATTTATCTATCATTTTGTATGTTTTGTTATAAATCTGACCCTTTACCTGTCCACAGAGGGGATTCAAAATGACAACTTTTTCAAATATACCTTAAATTAAAGCTTATGAAATATACTTTATTATGGAAAAAAAAATTTTGGATTTTATTTTGTCTTCATGGTGAAAATGGTTACCGTATGCTATTTTTGTGTTAAAATTTTCGATTTTATTTTAAAATACCTTAAAAAGTTTTTGAGATAGAAAACAATTTTTAACTCATTTGATTTTTATCACATTTAGAATCAATGACTTTAATAAATATCAAGGACCCCATCACTGTAGTCCTCCCCCGTTTGAAGACATTTCTTATTCATATTAAAGTTTTTTTACTATACGATTTTTTTTTTATGACTATCCTTTATTTTTTCAGCTCTCACTTGACTAACTTTTTTTAACGATACATCAAATGATCATAACTAATACACTCAATTGAGTAGATTTTTTAACAACATTTTGATTGGTTTTTTTAGTTAAAGTAAACCATTAAAATTAATTATGTTTTGAATATTTCAATTGTAGAATATTTTTAATCACCAAAAATTACTTAGAAATTATTTCTATTATTTCTAGTTAAGTGATCTATTACAATAAAAATGAAAAAAAATATATATTAAGCTTTTCTAATAAATTTACAATAAATAGTAATTATACAATTTTCTGACTGCATATTAATCTTAACAATACTATTTCAAACTCAAAATTGAGCTAAAAGTTATGGCAATAAATTAAACTTTTTTTTATTATAAACTTTCAAAAAAATAGGTTTAAATGATATTTTACACTGATTATTTTTAGCTTCGATGCGAAGCTGAGAAGGTATTGGTTTTACTAAGATGTGTTTTTTTTTTTTTTTTTTTTTTT